TTCAATCTTGCTTAAGCTTTTGCTATCCTGAGGGAAACTTCGGAGGAAACCAGCTACTAGATGGTTCGATTAGTCTTTCGCCCCTATGCTCAGGTCAGACGATCGATTTGCACGTCAGAACCGCTTCGGGCTTCCACCATGGTTTCCCGTGGCTTCACCCTGCCCAAGCATAGATCACCATCTTTCGGGTCGTGTGCTACTTGCTCTGGATCAGTCATGTTTTAGCAACATAACCGTCCGTGGTTGCGAGACATCGCTTTGACGCTCTCACCACAAAAGTTAATGCAACTCATAAAAGTTACACCGTTCACTTTCATTACGCGTGTACGCTTTCAAACAGCGACAGCACTTGCAAGCAACTCACACTCCTTGGTCCGTGTTTCAAGACGGGCTGTAGAGAGCATTGATTGGGATGTTAAGGTCAGACAGGCAAACAAAAGAGATAAAACTTTATCTCATTTAGTCAAGACACAACAAATTTGAAATCCGAAGAAAACAAATAGCTCGCATCTTTAACAATGATCACCAAAAGACTTTAACAACACTACCCGGTGGTCTAGAATCAAGTTCAAGACATTGGGCATGATAACGCTCACTCCAGTTCTCCTTCAACGGTTTCACGTACTTTTCACTCTCTCTTCAGAGTGCTTTTCAACTTTCCCTCACGGTACTTGTTTGCTATCGGTCTCGCTTTATAATTAGCTTTTGGAGAGACATATCTCCAGCTTCGAGTTGCACTTTCAAACAACTCTACTCATAGGAATGCGCCGTCGACAAGTTATAACAAGACTGTTACGGGATTTTTACCCTCTTTGATGCTATTTTCCAATAGACATCCAGTCAAGTCAACAAGCCAGGCAGCAAACCATACCGGACACCGAGGAGTGTTACCACTCCTCTTCCCGATGAGCTTTTCCCTGTTCATTCGCCATTACTAAGGGATTCTCGGTTGATTTCTTTTCCTCCCCTTACTGATATGCTTAAGTTCAGGGGGTTCTCTCGTCCAAATCAGGTTACGATTTAAAGGCACTCAAGCATCCATAAAACTACCGAAGTAGTAATGTGCAGGAGTTTATCACTCTAGCTTAGGCAAACTGAAGATCGAACACTGTTTAAACGCGCTCTCAATGCAATCACATGTATCACACCGGTACTAAATCTGAACAGCTCTTTGATCAACAGAATACCCAAGTTTGAGCGACTTGATTTAAGTGTTCTAACCAATCCCGAAGGATCTCGTAGATACACCAGCAAAAGAACGGACCAATCCGAAGACAGATCGCTCTTACCCTCAGATTTCTCCAAAAGTAAGCGTTCAATCGATTTCAAATAACCCTGATTCGGACGCGATCAACAGCCGAAGCTGAGACCGCCTTTTGCGTTAGAGAGGTCAGTAAACAAATCTTGCGATTCTTACTGAATTAACACATATAGCTGTGCTCCTCCTCGTAAAGCGAGCCTAGTGATCCCCCGTTGAAGGTTGTTTTTCGACCATCTAGCACTGGTTTGATTTAGAACAAAGCCAACCGCAGTCGGACTTTGAGCTGTCTCGACCACCCTGTTTTTTAGCATTTGGGCCTTCGCTTTCCTCAGTCTTTCTCTTACAACGGCAAACTGAAGATCGAACACTGTTTAAACGCGCTCTCAATGCAATCACATGTATCACACCGGTACTACATCTGAACAGCTCTTTGATCAACAGAATACCCAAGTTCGAGCGACTTGCTTAAGTGTTCTATCCAGTCCCTAAGGATCTGACAGATACACCAGTAAAAGAACCGGATCAATCCGAAGACTGATCACTCCTACGATCGGATTTCTCCAAAAGTAAGTGTTCACTCGATTAGAACAAAGCCAACCGCAGTCGGACTTTGAGCTGTCTGGACCACCCTGTTCTTAAGCATTTGGGCCTTCGCTTTCCTCAGTCTTTCTCTTACAACGGCAAACTGAAGATCGAACACTGTTTAAACGCGCTCTCAATGCAATCACATGTATCACACCGGTACTACATCTGAACAGCTCTTTGATCAACAGAATACCCAAGTTCGAGCGACCTGCTTAAGTGTTCTATCCAGTCCCTAAGGATCTGACAGATACACCAGTAAAAGAACCGGATCAATCCGAAGACTGATCACTCCTACGATCGGATTTCTCCAAAAGTAAGTGTTCACTCGATTAGAACAAAGCCAACCGCAGTCGGACTTTGAGCTGTCTGGACCACCCTGTTCTTAAGCATTTGGGCCTTCGCTTTCCTCAGTCTTTCTCTTACAACGGCAAACTGAAGATCGAACACTGTTTAAACGCGCTCTCAATGCAATCACATGTATCACACCGGTACTACATCTGAACAGCTCTTTGATCAACAGAATACCCAAGTTCGAGCGACTTGCTTAAGTGTTCTATCCAGTCCCTAAGGATCTGACAGATACACCAGTAAAAGAACCGGATCAATCCGAAGACTGATCACTCCTACGATCGGATTTCTCCAAAAGTAAGTGTTCACTCGATTAGAACAAAGCCAACCGCAGTCGGACTTTGAGCTGTCTGGACCACCCTGTTCTTAAGCATTTGGGCCTTCGCTTTCCTCAGTCTTTCTCTTACAACGGCAAACTGAAGATCGAACACTGTTTAAACGCGCTCTCAATGCAATCACATGTATCACACCGGTACTACATCTGAACAGCTCTTTGATCAACAGAATACCCAAGTTCGAGCGACTTGCTTAAGTGTTCTATCCAGTCCCTAAGGATCTGACAGATACACCAGTAAAAGAACCGGATCAATCCGAAGACTGATCACTCCTACGATCGGATTTCTCCAAAAGTAAGTGTTCACTCGATTAGAACAAAGCCAACCGCAGTCGGACTTTGAGCTGTCTGGACCACCCTGTTCTTAAGCATTTGGGCCTTCGCTTTCCTCAGTCTTTCTCTTACAACGGCAAACTGAAGATCGAACACTGTTTAAACGCGCTCTCAATGCAATCACATGTATCACACCGGTACTACATCTGAACAGCTCTTTGATCAACAGAATACCCAAGTTCGAGCGACTTGCTTAAGTGTTCTATCCAGTCCCTAAGGATCTGACAGATACACCAGTAAAAGAACCGGATCAATCCGAAGACTGATCACTCCTACGATCGGATTTCTCCAAAAGTAAGTGTTCACTCGATTAGAACAAAGCCAACCGCAGTCGGACTTTGAGCTGTCTGGACCACCCTGTTCTTAAGCATTTGGGCCTTCGCTTTCCTCAGTCTTTCTCTTACAACGGCAAACTGAAGATCGAACACTGTTTAAACGCGCTCTCAATGCAATCACATGTATCACACCGGTACTACATCTGAACAGCTCTTTGATCAACAGAATACCCAAGTTCGAGTGACCTCCCATCATCAATGGGGGATTGCATTCCTATCTGACATCGGGGTCAACAGCATCAATATACTTGATACTGCCAATTTAAACCATTAAAGGCAATTTTCATGATGCAGATAGAGCAATTCAATCTACGCTTTAGGTCATCAATTGTAGCTTCGCATCCGCCTTCTCAGGCAGACGCTTGAAACCAGGGAACTGAACACACTGTTCCTCTCGTACTAAGTGTTACCCAAGCATAGATCACCCTGTTTTTGAGCGTTTGGGCCCTCGCTTTTCTCAGTCTTACTCTTACGAAGGCAAACTGAAGATCGAACACTGTTTAAACGCTCTCTCAATGCAATCACATGTATCACACCGGTACTACATCTAAACAGCTCTTTGATCAACAGAATACCCAAGTTCGAGCGACCTCCCATCATCAATGGGGGATTGCATTCCTATCTGACATCGGGGTCAACAGCATCAATATACTTGATACTGCCAATTTAAACCATTAAAGGCAATTTTCATGATGCAGATAGAGCAATTCAATCTACGCTTTAGGTCATCAATTGTAGCTTCGCATCCGCCTTCTCAGGCAGACGCTTGAAACCAGGGAACTGAACACACTGTTCCTCTCGTACTAAGTGTGATTACCCAAGCATAGATCACCCTGTTCTTAAGCATTCGGGCCTTCGCTTTCCTCAGTCTTTCTCTAACGAAAGCAAACTGAAAATCGTACACTGTTTAAACGACCAACAAACAAGCTTATCTAGGAGAAGTTACTCCTAAGCTACCATCTAAACAGCTTTTTGATCAACAGAATACCCAAGTTTGAGCGACTTCCTTTTGGCGTCAACAATGACGAGGCATTCGGCTACCTGCTTTTGGCGTCAACAATGACGAGGCATTTGGCTACCTGCTTTTGGCGTCAAAAATGACGAGGCATTTGGCTACCTGCTTTTGGCGTCAAAAATGACGAGGCATTTGGCTACCTGATTTTGGCGTCAACAATGACGAGACATTTGGCTACCTTCTCTCTTGCTATAATGCACCACTGACTCTCACTTGCTATCATCCACACCGAGCAAGCTACTTTGACTGGGAGCCCATCCCCAGTCTCAAGCTATCATGCACCACCGTTTTTCTTGCTAATGCACCACCATCATACTAAGGATCACCAACAAGGATCACCTTGAGTTAACCTAACTTGCATCAGGTCAACTCTCTTTGAATTATCTTTCGGGAATCTAAGGTGATCCATTAAGGACTACCTTGAGCCAATCTAACCTTAGCTAGACCAACTCTTAGATGAACCATGAAGGAACATCATGCTATCATGCACCACCGACTCTTCCTTGCTATTATCAACCACCGAGCAAGCTACTTTAACTGGGAGCCAATCCCCAGTCTCATGCACCACCGTCTCTCTTACTCACATGCACCACCGACTCTTCCTTGCTATTATCAACCACCGAGCAAGCTACTTTAACTGGGAGCCAATCCCCAGTCTCATGCACCACCGTCTCTCTTACTCTCATGCACCACCGACTCTTTCTTGCTATCATCAACCACCGAGCAAGCTACTTTGACTGGGAGCCAATCCCCAGTCTCATGCACCACCGTCTCTCTTACACTCATGCACCACCGACTCTTTCTTGATTATGCACCACCACCTTTCAGCAAAATCTCCAAAAAGATCTACTGCGTACCGGGTCATATTTAATGAGCTGACCGGCTCTTCGCTCAAACAGTGGCATTAGTCACTGATCCTTCCGCAGGTTCCCCTACGGAAACCTTGTTACGACTTTTACTTCCTCTAGACAATTAAGCTCGATCCGCTTCCACCTATTGCCAGGACCGAAGTCTCAGCGACGGGCTTCCGCAATTCTTGCTTAAACATCCAATCAGTAGTAGCGACGGGCGGTGTGTACAAAGGGCAGGGACGTAATCCCCAGTAGTTGTTGACTACCGAGTACTAGGAATTCCTGGTTCACGAATGCAAGTTACAACATTCGATCCCCTTCACGCTCATGAATTTTAGGTGATTACCCGGACCATATAGGCCAAGGTTATCCCTCAATTTAAATTCACCAGTGTAGCGCGCGTGCAGTCCAGGACATCTAAGGGCATCACAGACCTGTTATAGCCTCACTTCACTTGTGCTATTTAATTGCACATAGTACCTCTAAGAAGTAACCAATACTCTAACGAGAATGGCACTATTTAGATGATCAAGATCTCGTTCGTTATCGGAATTAACCAGACAGATCACTCCACTAACTAAGAACGGCCATGCACCACCGCCCATATAATCATGAAAGATCATCAATCTGTCAATCCTTAAGATGTCTGGACCTGGTGAGATTTCCCGTGTTGAGTCAAATTAAGCCGCAGGCTCCACTCCTGGTGGTGCCCTTCCGTCAATTCCTTTAAGTTTCGATTTTGCAACCATACTTCCCCCGGAACCAATAAACTTTGGTTTCCCGGTTAATTTCTTGCCAAGTCAGAAGAGACTTTGACAAATCGTAAGTTGGTATAGTTTATGGTTAGAATTACGAGGGTATCTAATCCTCTTCAATACTCTAACTTTCGTTCTTGATTAATGAAAACATTCTTGGCAAATGCTTTCGCAGTAGTTTGTCTTGCCACGATCCAAGA